ATAGCAAAAATTATATTTTCAAAGTCATATTTTTTTATCAGAGCAGTAGGCATAAGCTTGTTGATAATTCATCCGTTCTTCCTTGAAATTTCTAAACTAACAGAAAGGTTCTGGTTCCCTTTTTGTGTGTCCTCCATTTTTCTCAAGAATGGATTTTCTGAACTGATATCTTTGCTTCAATACAGAAATCACATATGAGAAGAAAAACTTCTCCACTTCTTGGATAGTTCCTACTTTTTCTATCTCCATCTATAGCTGAAGCCTTGGAAACTCAACAGGGCAGCCAGATTTGGGTTCCCCCACTTGCCAGCCTTTTTGCTTTCCTGAGAAACCAACTTCTTTGAGTATTCTGAAGTCAGGCATGTCCCCGCATTACACTTGACCCTAGTGTGTGTGACCTTTATTGAGGTGGTAGCCTACCAGTGTCTTCTACTGAGTTGGCTTGCAATATGGCCCTAAAGAAGCTGAATAGTCTTATACAAGCTGAGCAAAACCCCACCAGTGGGCTGCTTTCTGACACTTTGAAAGCACAGCCTTTCTCAGTCCTTATAGCAGTTTTGAGTTCAGCTTTACCTGATGAGCTGGATACAGAATCAGATGAAGTAGCTTATGAACTATGCTGATTCAAGATGAAGTGTTGCAAAATTTGGAGATTCTACATCCTTTCTCTTCTGAATGAAAGTATTTATGCGTTGGCTTGATAATACCATGTAGTTATGAGTTGGTAATCACTTCCCTCTACAATTGTCCATAGTTATATGGAAATGAATTCTACTGATGTAAATGCAATTTGGTGTTCAACCAAGTCAATTTATTCAATTCAGTGTTGACTACTGGCAACTGCCTGGACTAGACCTGCACTTTTAATGGCAAGATTTTCAGAAACAGTTTGTCTTTGCCGTCTTCCTAGAGTAGAAAGAATGAATGAGTGGCCCAAGGTCACCTACACTCAACCAACCGGCTTCTTGTCTAGGGCAGAACTAGAATTCACAGCCTCCTGGTTTCCAAGCTGATGCCATAACCACTACATGAAATTAGCTCTGGCAAACAAGTATATTGTACCGGATTCTATATTTGTATAAAATCAGGAGGAGACTGATAACCCTTTCTCAATGTAACATATTTTATTAAAAGTCATTAGCTTTCATGAGCTCATTGCATCATATCCAGGTGGCAAAATTGATCAATTTACTCATCCCATACATCTGGTGAAGTGAGCCACAGCTCATGAAAGTTAACGCCCTTTATTAAAATATGTTGGTCTGAAAAGGAGTACCAGATTTCTCCTGATTTTTGGCTATCATAAACTAACATAGCTGTCTATTTAACTCACCAAATTCTTTTGAACAATCATTTATATACATGCACATTTCTATCTAGGTCATTAATTTAGGAACAGAGATTTGTAAAGGTAAATATTTGTTTAAAGAAACATAAATATTAAAGACTTCTTTAAAGAAACATAAATATTAAACTGCAGCTGCCACCAGGAATGTGCATAAAGAAATTAGCATTTATATAATCTTTAAGGAAGATTTTGATACTAGGTTGAAGGGTTTAGCATTACTGATTTTGTGCTTCAGCCAATTATCCTAAATAGTTGAGCAAAACTGGGAGTCCATTTTGTAACAAGCTTCTCTTAAAAAAATAGTAAAGAAACTGCACTCTGGCTCCATTCAGCTACAAGCATTACCATGAAAAGTGCAGTAGATTAATATTTAATTGTTTGTTTGCTGCTGCAGAGACTCCACTGTCTCATGCTGTATGTATCCAGCTACTTAAATGTAATGTGGGCCAGCAGGGGAACAGATGATGTCTTCTCTATTCAAAAGCACAACAAGGTAGTTTAAAAAAAACCCTACAATCTACAATGACTTGCTTTAAAATAATCGTAATGCTTATTTTATATTGTATTGTAGAAGGGGAGAAAAGGAGTTTCTTTTAAATAGATTTATTTAAAACAAATGTTGTTCCAAGCTTGGTTTTCCATTGAATTTAACCCTTCATGTGGCTACATCCATGAGACGAGTTTTAAATTTGTCTGTAGCTGGTGCTGTTAAAATCAACATATTGATGTATGCCTAGAATCTGGAAGCTGAGTATAACACAAAACAAAAATGTACACTGGGCAAACTAAAAATTGTAGAGGCACTTTTAATATTAATTGACATACCAGATTTGTGAGTCAGAACCAATATCACTAGAACTGACTGAAAAAAAGGATTGCCAGAAAGCATTCTTATTTTTACTTTAACAGGAAAACCTAAATTAAATAGTCTCTCACAGTACAGGGGATATGCATATGCTGACCAAACCAAGAGGCATAGGATACACATACCTGGATATACTATTATTAGTTTCCTATAGAGAACTTGGCAGATTGACATTAAGCAGGGCTTTCCATCTAAAATCCTCCCAAAATCCTCCCAAGGAGAATTAGTTCATTAGTCTGAAGTTCATCATTCTGCAAGACTGAATCTTTTTTATATATTGTTACAAGTCTCTAAAGCAGTGCTTCTCAATCTCATCAGCTTTAAGATGTGAGACTTTCAACTCTCTGAATTCCCCAGATGCCATACTGGCTGGAAAATTCTGGGAGTTGGAAGTCCACACATCTTAAAAGTTGCCAAGTTTCAGAAGAACTGCTCTACTGGGTGAAAAACGGAAAGTATCTCAGTGCGATACCTAGCAATATTTTTTAAACCAGAGGCCCTAGACTTGGTTTTATTATTGGGTTGTTTTCCCCCCCAAGATCTACCCAGAATGAATGGCTAGCAATCTAGCAAATCCATCAAACAAGGATGATGAATCCCATCTTTCCTGGCTAAGCCTTGTCTTCCTCTGCTCTTGCCCAAACACCCCAGACCAGCCTCAGAAACATTTACTTTCTCAGAACAGGTCTCAGGGCACCAACTCTGAACACAAGTCCCTCTGGGATGAATCTGGGTGAGCCACTCAATCCCTGACCCCAGGCCCCTCAAACCCCTGGTATGGTTCCATGGCCCAGCCTGTGCATCTTCCAGGGTATCTTGGCCTGGCTGGACAGCACTGAACCTACAAAGTATCCATCAGCCTAAGAAAATAACTTGAGGCTGCATGTTTGAGACTCCTACCATAAAATCAGTCTAGAGCTGGGGTGTTGCAACGTCATGTGATGTATCACAACTTTCTTCTCCTTGGCTAAAACGGGGGTGGGTTTGGCCAGCATGTCATGCATCTGGCCTGTGGGCTGGGAGTTTGACACCCCTGGTCTAGGCTCTAGGGAATACTTGAGAAAACTGACAAGGTTCAAAGCTGATGGGCGCAAGTTCTGATCCTGGTATTAATTATAATATATAATATGATGGATTCATTATAATATGTAACACCAATAACCACAAATAGTATATGCACATATAAATATTGATGACTTTTTTGAAGATTGGAATCAGGCTTCCCCTCCCCTTTTCAAAATTATAAACCACCCAACTAAAGGAGGAAACACTGCCCTGAGTGATATTATATAGAATCTGAGAGACCTGTTCTTGAATCTCCTCCAGAAAAGAAAAAAAGTTCTACAAACTAAGGATGCATTAACTTTTGTGGTATATTTGTTAAACTTTTGGACAAGTTCACATTCAGCTTATCAATTGTACAGAAACGGTCTTACCAGCCCATGAGAATTGTATGCTTGTCCACTGATTCTATATTGAAAGGATGTGGGATATGATAACCTACAAAAATCTAATTTATGAAGAGCTTTCAGAAACACACCAGATTAATTTCAGTTGGTTGATACTTCCACACATTGATATTGCTGCCAAACTCATAACAGCTGAGTCTGAAGGTGGCAGCTTTATCATGTATAAAGATTTCAGGCAAGATACTCCAATAGGTTGACAGCTCATGAAGTTCAAGCACTCTTTGATAGAAACAGATTTTCTAGCTTTTAATTGAAGCCTAATTCTGACTGGACTGGTTGTAATTGCCTCTCAAATGGGTGGAAATACAAATGTTGTTGGGTATTTAAAATCTGCAGAGAAATCTCTCCTCAGTTTTTTTCCAAGCCTTGAAATTGTCATCTGAGATGCGAATGTTCTCACTTCCTTTAGTCTATCTGCTATGGAGTGTCTCTCCAAAAGAGATCCACTTAAAGCCTATCTACTCTGCTGGCAGCAGATCTTTTGTTTTTTTATTAGATCAGTGCCCCTTTTCATATATTTCCGCTCTGTTTTGCTATTAAGCAGTTTAATTTCTGTGTTCTAAATTATCTTTTCATCTGATACCTTGGCTTTTGCAGCCTTTGTTATGGCTTACTCATATTTGATTTAGTGTTTTTATTATCCATCACCCAGGGAGATTTTAGCCATAGGGCAGCTCATAAATCCTAAACGAAAAATGCATCAGGATGTGGTGATCTTTAAGCACTGATTTATGCATATATGCGATTTCCTTTAGCAAACAAACACAAGAAAATAATTATATTGAAGCACATAGGCGTTCAAGTCAATTCGCTTTATGGTTTCGGGTAGCAATTGGGGCTTCACCCCTGCACCCCAACCCTTATAAATTATAGCCCTTATCACATTCTGCGGCGCTGAGCGACCTCCGCGCTTCTGGACCTGGGCCCTGAAGGTCACAGCCTGTGGCCCCTCTTCCCCTCGGGCCCCGTCTCCCCGCGTTTCGTTCGCCCGTACCCCCGCAGAGATGCCTGCCAGCTGAGGCCCCCGGGCAGCCCGAGGCCGCCCCCAAACCGGAGGACATAGCCCGACGGCTCCCCGGCTCCGTCATTTCGCCTCCCCAGGCACATGTGACGCCGTGTCGCGTCGCCCCTGGAACGCGCCAAGCCAGGTTCTCCGGGCGGCTGTTCCCTCCAGCGACCGCCCCAGCCAGCGGCCTCTTTCGGAGGCGTCCGCCTGCCGCTCCCTTCCTCCGCTTAGAGCAGTCGCCGCCGCTCCTCCCCTGCCTCAGCCTCAGCCTCCCCCTCTCGCTCGCTCGCTCCCGCGGCGCAGAGACCCAGACCCAGAGCGCGCACGCTGCCACCGCGGCTCCCTGCAGCTGCTTGGCCCGCTCGGCTCGGCCAGGCCCGCTCCCCCCACTCGTGGATCTTTCCGGCTCGCCTTCCCTCTCGGTCTGCCCGCCTGGGAGGAAGGCAGGAAAAGCAGCGGCGGCGGGGAGGGGCCGCAGCGCCCCGCAAGGACCGGCTCCGACCCTGCTTCAGCTCGCGTTTCCCGGACCAAGCGATTCCCCCCCTCCCCAGCGTCACCTCTCTCCGGATCCCACAGGTAGGAGTCGCCCGCGGGCCTGGCGTCGCCTCTCCGCCCGCTCCTTTGCACAGGCGAGCAAGATGGAGCCTCGCCCAGTTGGCTCCGTGCGAGAGAAAGAAGGGAAAGGGCCGAGCGGCGCTGCCTGCTTGCCTGCCTCCTTCCCTCCCTTCCGCGGGCGCAGCTCCTGAGATCGGGACAAGCCCACCCCTGCATTTGTCGCTGGAGCCGAGGAAGAGGAGGACGAAGCGAGACGCTTTCCTCCTCTGGGGCAGAGCGCGAGCCCCTCTTCCCCTCTACCTCCAGGGAGGAACCGCGACATCCGCTATCTGGAATAGCTTTCGAGCCTCTTTTTTTTTGTTTTTTGCGCCCCGTTGCATTGAAGAGGGAGGCGGTTTTGCGACCCCCCCACCCCCTTCTCCCACTCCGGTTCTCTGGGCTCCGGAGCGACTTACTGCCCTTTCCTTGGGGGCGCGTTATGTTCTTTCGACCGAGCTTCGGGAGACAAAGTACCATTTTGAGTACTTCGGTACACTTCGAATAACTGTTGCCATTATTTTGAATACGGCTTTTTAAAAGGAATTGGTCGGGAACGCTTAGCCCGTTTGTTAAGTGGAGTCTGGAAACACCCAGCCCTCGCTTTAACTATTCAATTAGAAGTAGCAAAAAAAGGGAAGGGTGAGATGATAGGTTAAAAAAGGTAACTTGTTTACTGGGTAAATTGCTTTGAATAAAGCAGATGGCGAGTCCTAATGGTTTTGATCTGGGGGAGTAGTAGCAAAAACTCATTAAGTCCTCTGCCCCCATTTCCTGATTTATTCTTCCCTCGAGCTTATAATAAAATGCTCTCAGTCTATAGCACATGCTGGCACTCACATATCCCAATGCAATATTCCCTGTAAATATCTTAGGAAGACCGCTGACACTCCGGTGCTTTGGGGGGCAGTGGTGAGTGAAAGAGAAGGGGTAAAACTGCTGTAGTTCTTTGTGTTACTTATTGCTTTTTGCATTCAGCAGCCATGGGGGCTGGACATCTTGCTGCTCTCATACACAGCGTCTTTCTGGAATTTGTTTCATTTTCTTAAATGGCCTATTTAATTTGCCTATTACAAACGACTGCATATTTTTTTCTCTATTTATATTTTATATATTTCTCTTAAGTGCACAAATAAGGCTATGAATATTAACTTGCTAATTAAGGGTTTTAATAAACACAGCACATGTTTATTAAAACCTATTATTTACGTATCTCTACCTTTGACTCATATCTAGGTTGTGCTTTTACTGTACTTGGAATCCTTTTGATTATACATGTGGCCTGAGTCTTTGTTTTTAAATATTTAGTCTATAGCCCTGAGCACATTACAGAAATAGGTCCCATATGTACAGAATTATATTGTTATTTTTCCATTAAATTTGTATCTGTTGTGTTTTATTTAATTGGGAGGGCTGTGTATTACTTTGTACTATGAAAAGAAAAATGAACTCCTGCTTATTTCTACTCAAGATATGGCTGCAGATTACCCCCCCCCCCCCAAAAAAAAAAAAACATTCAAAATTTCAAGATGGCTTTTGGTTTTTTGCTTCCTTTACAATTCTATGTTTTTTCTTTTTCTTTCACTTTTTCCAAGTTCTCTGTAGAATTAGAGAGACAATAGCATCTGCAGAATACAGGCTTCCACTGTGCATCAGGTCTATTTTATCTCTTAACACCTTGTTTTTGTGGTGGTGTATAATGATAAAAATCAAAACATATACAGATAGATCAACCTTTTTAGGAAAATAAAACATAGACTAGGCCACAAGATAGCTGTTGAGAAAAAGTGATTTCCATTCTTTGGTTCTTTTTTTAATGCAAATATTCCAGCCCCTGTCTGTTTACTACATCTAAGTCCTAGACCTAGAATATTGTCTGAGGGTTCAGGATGTAGCCAGAGTCTAGACAGATCTAGATTTAATTGATGGCTAAATAGAAGACATTTAAGAATCTTATTGTCAACTTGTAAAGCATTCCTATGCCTGTTTTCAAGTTGCCTTGGGGATTATATTCTTCTCCTTGATTTATATTATGAAGAAAAAGAAGGTATAAATGTATACATTTTCCCTTTTCTTTGAGTCAAGTTAGCTTCTACTGATTTAATGGAAACATACGTACAAGGATGTACAAAATTATTAGTTTTAAATGTAATCCCTTTTCAAAGCAATATAATTAATATTCCTTCCTCTTATTCTAGCTTCGTCATCATATCTTATATAAGGTATGTATGATGGAGAGATAGTAAATGTTCCAGAGCAATTCGGTGAGTTTCCTAATGCTAATTCAGAATTCTACTGTACTGCCATAGTGTTTTGTCCTTGTTATGAACCTACAAATATAGAAGAGTCAGTTTAGGAATATTTTAAGGCAAGATGGGAATATTATATCCCCTCTTGTTCAGGAAATAGTTTTTATAAATAACATTGCTAAACTATAAAAAAGGCAGATTATAAAACAAGTTTACAAAGTTCTGAAGCAAAAAAAAAAGGTAAATTCTGATGGGTTTTGGATCCAGATTATGATTTAATGAAATTCTGTTTCTGCAGAGTAGGAAATAGGTAGATTCTTTTCCGCGAACAAGTTGTCTTCAGCTTATGACTGCAATTGAGCCTACAATTACTATGATAATTTGTACTGGTCATTAAGGAGGTCATCATGGAACTGCATCCAATTTTAATATATTTTTTGTGATGGTCATTAATGGATGTCATAGTCATTAAGTGAACTCATTGTTCACTACTGGCATTTTTTTGCCCGAAACTGAAAGTAAATGTTGATTTCCGGCAAAAATGTCATAAATCGTGATCATGGGACCATGGGGATACTGCAAACAACAAAAAATGAGGGCCAGTTGCTAACTACCCAAAATGCAGTCATGTGCTCTGGGGGGCTGTCAGAATTCAAATATGGGTCATAAGTACTTTTGGGGGGAGGCCTTTGTAACTTTGACCGGTTGCTAAGTGACCAGTTGTTAAGTTGAGAACTACCTCTGCTGCATTTTCTAAAGAGCTGTTCTGGAAAACAGCCTGATAGATAATATAATGAATTGCCGGAGCAGAGGGGATTACATTAGTCAAGATTGCCTTCATCTGTTCTTTCAACAGGAAAATTTATTGGATCCAGTGCTTTCCAATAAAAGAAAAAAAAACATCTTTATTTAGTGCAGAGGTATTTTTTAGATGATGCAGCAGTATTGTATTTATTAGAAAGGAAAATAAATCCCTTCCCCAAATATTTAACTTTAAAATAGGTGTTGATTGTAATATTTCTGAGAACATCATTAATAGAGACTGATGATTTGTGTGTGTGTGTGTGAATGTTCCCTTTTGTATGGATGTCTTAATTTAGAAAGCTGCTTTTCTTTTGAGTAACATTGCACTGTATCAGACATAATTTTAGAAGAGCTTTTATTTTTTATCTAAATAAAAATAGGGAATGCTTATCAAAATGCTTACCAGCTGTAATTTGTATAAGTCAGGGGTGTCTAGGCTTGCTCAACATGGATTGTATTGCTGTCTGTATTATTTTTTAAACTTGAGGGAGGGAAAATTGAGAGTTGGCAATAAGTAGGGCCAAATTTTCATGGATAGATTTGGAATCTTCCATTTTGGGAATAGGCTAGGGTTATTTCTGGCGTATTGCCTCTGCCAAATCTGTTTCAGGGATTACAGTACAGGTAGTCCTCAATGTACAACAGGTTAGTGGCAGTTTGATGTTACAATAGCACTGAAAAAGTGACTTACGACCATTTTTCACTTATGACCATTGCAGCATCCCCATGGTCCCATGATTTACATTCAGATGCTTGACAACTGGTGTGAGGGTTACAGGATCATGCGACCATCTTTTGCCACCTTCTGACAAATAAAGTCAATGGGAAAGCCAGATTCACTTAACAACAAGTTACTAATTTAAGAACTGTAGTGATTTGTTTAACTAATGTGGTGAGAAAAGTCATAAAATGGGACAAAACTCGCTTAACAGATTTCTTACTTAGCAACATAAATTCTGGGCTCAATTGTGGCTGTTAGTCAAGGACTACCTGTATTGTTTTTGTGTGTTTTTGATTTAGTTTAGCAGGAAATCATATTGTTTTTGGTTATTGAAGAACTGTAATGGAGACAGCTGCAAAAAATAAAATTTAGGGAGGTGAGATTGTCGTCTCTGATATAAAAACTTGCATTATAGCAGCCTGCTTAATATTGCATGAATTCTGATAATCACTAAGGCTGCTACTGTATACCATTAAATATGAGTAAGCTCCATCCAAATCAGTGGGAATTATGTCTGACTAGAACTTAGTCTGCAACTCTGGATTATCTTTTTCCTCAAATTTCCTCAAGTAACATTCTAGACAGATGATACTAATCTCTAGATGGAGTCAAACCTGATTCACTAGACCAATTAATGAAAACAATAGCTTTTCTAGGTGGCACTTTGTGGGCACAATGAATGCTTCTTTGCAGCCATGACTAGACTATTTTATATTTAAGTGCAGTTTACATTTATCAGAGATGATTAGGTTGGAGGGAATTAAGACCAGTTGTGCTAATGTCTGCTTTCTATTGGTCTCTCTTAACTTTCCAGTAGACTGCAATACAGCAAAGTGTTTTTCAACTTTGGCTGCTTGGAGCTATGTGGATTTCAACTCCCAGAATGCTAACTTGGGAATTGAAGTCCACACATCTTAAATTCACCAAAGTTGAAAAACACTTTGCTATAGTGGGTGAGAAAGATAGAAATGAAAGGATTTTTGCGTTCAGAGAATTAAAAAAGTGTTTTCTATCTCAAAAAGTCAACAATCATTATCTCAATAATTGAGTAATTGAATTATTCTTTTCAGAACAATATAAAAGCTAAGTCTTAAATTCAGTGATTGCCCTTTTTGATTTGGTTGAGTTTCTGATAGTGGAACGGGAAAGGAAATAAGTGGCAAAAAAATTAACGTTCATCCTTGTTCTTGTAATAGTTTCTACTAGTTCAAAATCTGCCTGTGGAAGGTCGTCACTGCATGCAGATCTGGGGTTAGATTGCATTAAGCCATAATGTTTAAACCAAACAGTAGTGGGGTTTTCCCAAAGGTGCTTTTTCAGGAGGCAATTGGACTTTCTTATTTTTTCTTTGAAGACATTTCACTTCTCATCCAAGAAGCTTCTTCAGCTCAGACAGGATAGTCGGGAATGGAAGTATTTATATTCCTTGCATACAGATGGTCATTTTCATTATTTTGGAGGGTCCTTGAGGCACTTGGACACAGTAGTGGGTTTCAAATTTTTTTACTACCAGTTCTGTGGGCGTGGTTTGGTCGGTGTGGCAGGGAAAGGATACTGTAAAATCTCCAGTCAGAGGTGGTATTTGCCAGTTCTCCAAACTACTCAAAATTTCCACTACTGGTCCTCCAGAACTGGTCAGAACCTGCTGAATACCACCTCTGACTTGGAGGTTTATCTATGTCCTCAGAGTCACCTGAATAGTGCTCCTGGTTTCTATAATCTGCAATTTTTATCTGGAAATCCATTCGTACGCCCACTCCATTCAAAGGGTGTTCATCCCAAATTGTATAGCTAAAAGCCTGTAGAGATTCTCAATCATCCAGGTCATCGTTGTCCCAAAGGTGCTTTTTCAGGAGACACCTTTCCAGGATACAATTAGATGAGAAGCAAAACATCTTCAAAGAAAAAAAAAAACAAGAAAGTCCAGTTGCCTTCTGAAAAAGCACCTTTGGGACAACCATGACCTGGAAGACTGAGAATCTCTACAGATTAGTAATGGGGTTTGGTTTTGGTTCAGCATTTTGTATAAATAGAATCATACAGCTTGAAGGAACCCTGGAGATCTTCAAGTCTAATTCCCTGCCCAAGGCTGAAATCCTCATATCATCTTAGATAAACGGTTGTCCAATTTTTTTTCTTGAAACCCTCCAGTGACAGAGAATCTACAACTCCAGGAAGCAAGCTGTTCCATTGCTTAAAAATTCTTAATGTTCTTACTGTCAATAAATTCCTTTATTTCCACGTATAATATAATTACAGGTAATCCTTGAATTATGACCATAAATGAGCCCAATGTTTTCTTTGCTAAGGAAACAGTTGTTAAATGAACTTTGCTCCATTTTACACTCTTTTTGCCATAAGTATTAAGCTAATCACCGCAATTACGTATTAAATGAATCATGCGGTCGTTGAACAAATCTGGCTTCCCCCATTTACTCTGCTTGTTGGAAGTCACCTGGAAAGTTACAGATTGGGATCACATCACAACAAAACAGTGAAACTGTCATAAATACATGCTAGTTCCAAGTACCTGAATTTTAATCAAGGGACAATGAAGATGCTGCAATAGTGTGAAAACTGGTCATAAGTTAGTTTTTTCAATGCCGTTGTAACTTCCAACGGTCACAAAATGAATGGTTGTAAGTTGAGGACTACCTATATTGTATTTTATATAATTAATAAACATACATGATTCATATATTCTATACATATATGATTTATAATTGTTAAAAATGCAATTATTATATTTTGGAATTTATTTCAAGATTTGTTTAAATAACTAATGCTCATTTTAACAGTAGACTTCAATTGTACATAAAAATTCTTCAGATTTAGAAGTTCAAAATACAGTGTTGATCATAATTCAAGAGTTCTGGATCTTGCTAACTTACCTGAATTAAATTACTGTACTATATTAGATGTTTCAGTTGAAAGCTACTGTTGTGTTGAGATAATCCAGATTTTTTTTTTTGAAAATTGTTTATGAAGTATGATTGATGCTTAGCTGATATGAAATGTTAATAGCCCTGCTCACAATTGAAAAACCATTATCTGCCATTTTCAGACTACGCTAGGATTAACCCAAAGTGTAAGTCAAAACCCCAGAACACTTGTTACCTGGCATCTTCAAATGTGTGTTCAATTTTTAGCAGTTTTTAATAGAATTTTAACTGACAAAGGAGCCCAAGCCCTTGGCAGGATTTAGAATTTAGACTTAGATTTAGATTAACTTTATTGTCACTTTGAATGTAGACTAATCAGCATACATTAAAATGAAATTGTGTTGCATACAGCTCTCAGGGTCTCCACCTCTAATATACACTACATAAACATGACTAAATAAATAAATACAAAATTATGCATATATCCACATATATTATATGACATGGAGAAACCACACAGTTTAGTTTGGATGTATATGGGAGAGAAACAAATCTTGCAAGTTTACCAGACGGATGTCATAGGGAACAAAGCGGTTATAGAATCTGGTAATCCTGCTAGACCAGGGGTGTTAACTTGCGTCATCACATATTGCAACTTTGGTGGGGGTGGCCAGTGTGTGATGCGTCCGGCTCGTAAACCACGAGTTTGTCACCCATGTGCTAGACTATTTCACAGGGATCACATAATAACTTACTGGTAGTGTCCATCAGAAGCAATTGCTTGATTATGAATTATTGTTTGCATTTTATAGTGCCGAAAAGAGCTTCACATCTGTGAAGCTTATTTTGATTTAGAATTTTGCTATGAATTTAAAAGTATTTTTAATATAAAAGGTTGAGTTCATGTACTACGAACATGTGAACTGAACATAAATACACATTGCAAGTATACACTGGCAATGGTTTGAAATGGTTTTGTTTTAAATAATATGTTGGGCTACTTTGTATCCTAATATGAAGTTTCTTAACCTTGGAAAGCATTCATAACACAATAGACACAATTTAATGCAAAACTAAGTTTTTTAAAAAAAATGTTACCTTGATTTTAAATGGTTTTTTTAATATTTTCTTTTTAGCAGAAAATGATGCATCCTGTTGCCAGTAGCAACTCCCCTTTCTGCGGGACTGGAAAAACATCTTGCCTTAATGATGACAATGGGACACCCACCGATCAGTTTGATTTATATTCCACACAACAAACCAAGTATAGCCACACAGTCGGGCACAAGCCAATACCCTGCCAGAGACAAGATGCATTAAATGAACCACATTTGCAGACCACAAGTAGCAGAAATTTAGAGACGAAAGATGAACTAAAAAAAAAGAAAAATCTCAACAGATCTGGAAAACGTGGAAGGCCTTCGGGGACGACAAAATCAGCGGGGTATAGAACGAGCACAGGTAGACCACTCGGGACCACCAAAGCAGCTGGATTTAAGACAAGTCCAGGTAGACCCCTGGGCACAACTAAAGCTGCAGGTTACAAAGTCAGCCCTGGGAGACCTCCTGGCAGCATTAAAGCTCTATCACGGCTTCCAAATCTAAGTTATACTTGTAGCAGTGCGGCTTTTCCTTACTCTGTGGTCCATAACAGAGGAGTACATGCTACTGGTGAAACAAGTAGCAAAATCAAACAACCCACTGAATAATATGTATAGGTTGATAATATTTCTTCAGTAATCATTTTTAAATTATCTGAGTTGTGGCATGTTTTTTCACTTCTTTTGTAATTTTTTCACAACTTCCTTTCTTATTTTTTTTAAAGATGGCATATATCATAACTATATAATGTTTCTTTGTTTACAAGTGGAATCCCCAGTGATGCGCTTGTGTGTTTTCAAAAAGTAATTGCAAATATTCTGAGCAACAAAAATTATTGGCTAGTCATTTTAGTTGAGGAGCTATTAATTCAAATAGCAGATTTCCAGCTCCCTGGTTTTTGAGATCGCAACAGAGATTTGATTAAAACACATCAGAATAGACTAATAGAAGCCAATCATTCAGGATTGTCTTATAAGTAACAGTACTTCTATAAATTTTGCAATGTATGTGATTCCTTTTTTTCTTTCTTTTTAAATAGGAATGAGTAGAAATGATTTTTTTCCACAATTGCTGGAATTTAATACGGACCTCAGAACTTGTAGATATGTCAAAACTTCGAAGCTATATTTTTAGGAAGTTATCATTCCAGGCAGCCATTCATTGAAGTGCTATCAGTTACAAGTAATTCAAACACTTTGTTAAAGAAATAGTTTGTATGCAGCACCTGATCTATAGTCTTAAGTGCTTCTTTTCCATTACAGTATGGTATCTCTCTTGGAAGTGCTAACTATTGCACATTGAGTTACAGTTTATAAAGTCTAAGACTATATACACCAAATTATAAATAATGAAATATCAGATTTTTTTATAAATAAGCTCTTAAAAGTGCTATCAAATATGCATTTAATGGGCATAATGAAGGTTATCTTTGAGATTTTGTTCCCTTATTAGTCCAATTAATTTGAGTGATACATAAGTGAAGTTCTAGAACTGCCCTGTATTTTTCAAAATCTGTCAAGAAATACAACTTCAAAATAACTTTATAATATCTGCATATCTGGCAGCCTTTTTTAAAAAAAAAAAGTTAAAATATTTGGTATAATTGAAAACTATACTTTTCAGATAAGTGAACTTCCCAGTTTTAAAATAATTTTGTCAGTACAAAACTTCTGGATCTAAGTGAGCATATATTTACCAAAGGAAGACATTTCATGGTTCATAATTGGAAATGATACAGATGATGCACAAACAAGTTGTGATTTGATGTGTTTATAGACACCCAGATATATAACAGACTTTAGGAATATATCTATGCATGGAGGTGCAGAATGATAAATACAATTTCTGATTTTTGTGCACCTAAAATAAATGTTCTGCTTTGAGCTGGGTATGTGTTATTATTTTTAAGGATTGTAGATGAGTGTGTATGTTCGTATGTATGTGTGAGAGAAAAAGGGGGAAAGACAGAAAAAGATGACTGTATCTACAGTATTACACAAATTGCATTGTAATTGATCAGAAAACACTCAATATTAAATAGATTTTATAATTGTTTTTCCAAAACTAAGTTTATATATAATTAATTCTTAAATGTTTTATCTTCAGATTCACTTGAAAGAGGTTGTAAATATTTGCAACTTTCATTTGGAATAGACCTCTTTCACATTATGTACAAGTGAAAATTAACAGTATTTAATTTTTTCTTTGTAAGATCAATGTTGTAGCCTGCTGACGTTTTGATGACAGCTCTGATTCCAGTAATGACAACTTAAGAAATGGGTGTCATTTCATGCCTTTTTTATCAGGAAAAATGCAGCAAGCCTTCAGGTGTTCCAGTGATGCCTAACTCATAATGAGCTGGACTTTATCCTATATTTTATAACAGAGTATTGAATTGTTTTGAGGAGACTTTGTACGCACTGGCAACCATGAACCTCAACAGTACTGGAAGGCTTTTTAGTCATGTAAGTTAAGGCAGCTAAACTGCTACTAAATTGTTTTGTATTATTTTTGATCAAGCCATGTTTCCTTGAGAAACTTTGGAATTATCAGTCTTTTTTTCCACAGAGGTGCAACTTTTGACACACAGTGCTAATGTGAGCTAATTCTCCCTCAGGACATAAATTGTACTATATTGTCTGTTTTGTTACACTTTTCCCCCTTCCCCAAAAGCTGCTTGGAGAGAAGCTGAATGTAAAATCTAAAAAAAAGGCATACTCTTGTGGCAAGATACAAATTTATCTTATTCCAGAAGTGTATTTTTAATCAACTGTATTTCTTACCTCCTGTTTTTCTTGTGCTATACTTTTTTTAAAAATTCACAAATGAGTTTGTTTGATGATGCCATACAGTGGTTTGGGAGGTAAGGCAGGTGCATTATTGTTCTAATGTGATGAATTATGTATTTTGAGAAAATATATGCTGAGAAAATAAGCAATTTATGCTCATCTATAAAATGAAAAACACATCCATTAAAAAGACTAGTACAGTTTAAAAAAGGCAGAAAGGGTAGTTATATACTCATTGGATTTATTAACCAGGCCAGGAGAGCACTGTTGAACATTTCTTTATTCCAATTGCTTTTACCTTCTACTGCAGTTCATAAGGGCCTTGCTATAGAGAAAACAGAAGTCAACGATTTGAGATGTTTGAATGATAAATTCAAATATTTTTGCTACTGCTGTATATAATCTTCTGAATACATTGTGCTTTTTTGGTACACTATCTTGTCATGATAAACACTGCAACAGCATGTTAATTCCTATGCTTTGTTATTACTGGGAAGGAAGAGTATCCTTTCTTTCGATAGTATTGATACATGATTTGTAAAGCAAATGATAATTTTATATTCTATAAATTGTACTCTACATACATAAGCTAGGATTGTTAATGTGTATTCACACTGCTCAAAACATCTACATGTTGTGCTTTATCTTTCTTTTGATTAAATATAGATATTTGTTGTATCTTTTGATAAATAATTAAGCATTAATAGGGACCTATACTACTTAAAAGACATAAAAAATGCTGTTTACTTTCTAACTAACTTTACATAAACTATGGAACCAAATAACTTTACTACTATTTTTTAAGTCTTGCACTGGATATGTTCAAAATTATTGTATTAGTAGTACTTTCTAAATACAGCTTTGTCTACTACACCAAGAATCACTTTTGTTTCATAACTTCATAACTTCAGGATCTTTGTTCTGCAATGGGCCATTTAAAATAAATTGCACATTTTTTTGGTTTCACAAGAAATCCAGGAAAATAATGTATATGGGATGGGAAATTCCATGACCAACGAGGCAGGAGGGATTACAGTCAGGGCATTAAAAGAATTTGAAAGGCAAAAACTTTCAGAATGAGAACTCTACAATTATTACCTAAATTGTCATTCTACTTTATATTACTGTATATACAGTGCAGCATCATGTAGTTCACCAACTACAGTTGCTTGCAATCAAAACTTCTAGACTTGCTTATACTCAAAATGCTTTTTATTATACATATATTAAATATAGTTCATTATTATAATGAAAATATTAGAACAAGCCCTTCCTTTTGGTCTCCTCTCCCAAATGGATAAATTTAAGTTCTGCAATGTGTAATCAATTTCATCTTGAAAATTATGATAGCATAACAATTTTTAAATATATATATATATTTAAATACTGTAGACTATTTTAAGATTTTCACTTTCACGACTTGTTTTTCCATGGACAGGTTATTTTATTAGAAATAAAATCATTAATGTCACCATCCTGTCTTCTGGTGTAAAAAGTCTGATTAGATAACTCTTTGTTCTTACATCCATGAACCTCAGCTACTCATGTGCAATTGTCTGTATGGGAATGGAGTAGTATTCATGAACTGTACTTATGTCATCATTTGGATGTATATTTATTAATAAAGTAATTACTTTAAACACAAAATAATGTTTCATTTTTTGCCATAGATTGCATCTGTCTTTCATAAATTTCATGTCTTAAATTTATAAAATAATGCAGTACCATCCTACTTTAGAGAATGAAGAACTATTAATCGCTTGATGTTTTCTTTATTTTATCCATTAAAAATATTGAACTAAATTCTTTTTACGTTTTTCTTTTGCTCTGCTCCCCATGTATTCTTACAATGTCTGATTGAAGGGCAGTGTCCACAAATGTTACTAGCTATTGATTTTAGTGACCATCTAATTAATATTTGTATGTACATGTGTGAGACTAGGTGTGCGTGACAGCAAAAGTATGAATGGGTGGCTTGTATTTTGGATGTTTGAAATGACTTATTTTAAATCTGGAAATCAATTGAGTGGCAAGAGGGTGAGCATCACGGTAAATTTGTGATAAAAATGTAATGGTTGATTATTTAAAAGAAATGGATCAATTAATTGAATATTAATCTTTCATTTTAAATCTGTTTTCACTTTTTAAAAATATTTTGAATAGGTTGTCAATTGTCAGTTCCATGGCTAACATGAACCTTTTGCTTAAAAAAACTGTGCACTGTGATTACTGAAATCCTTTCAGAAATATTGCAATGTCACAATAGAGAGTTTTTAGTGGTATTTCTTTTTAGATTCTTCATTAGAACAAGATGGATAATTTTTAATTTAATTTTTATGTGCCTTTATGTCTTATATTAATAGATGGGCCCTGTAACTTTTAGAGGTGCATTACATCCTTTGGAGAAAGGAGACCTAGTTGTTCATTGTTTCGAATACATTATTTGCATTCGTTTTACATTACATTACATCCTGGGTTTTATTCCTGACATTTCCATTTAAGACTGGATAACCCTCCTATCTAAAATGCCAGAGAGTTACTGCCCAGTATATTCCTTAAATAGATGCATCCTTGATTTGTTACACAAACCTATGAAAAAGCCTCTTGCATTTAAAATCTGAAATACTTCAACTGAAAGTGTTTCTTGTGAAATTTTATATAAGATTGTTTGATTTTGATGACCTATTTGTGTGTTCTGAACTAGATTCAGAAACCAATTGGTAATCAATATGTGTAAGCTCTTCTACCAGAGCAGATAGAGGTAGAATTAAAATAGTGCAGACATATATTAAACTGTATGCATTTGTATGCTTAAGGTTGACTAGACCTGAAAATTGGAATTCAGAAAATAAATTAATACTTTTCAAGCTTTTCTTGTAAGAGAATCTCTTTATTCTGTCTCATAAAGTACTGTGTGCGTCATTTAATGCTGAACGCTGACGTGGAATAATTCAGGTGTTTCATCAGTTGAATACAGCTCATAATATTTGTTTGCCCAAGGGACATTTTCAGTGGGTCAAAATAAGCAATCCCTGATATAAATTGAAACCTATTTGCCACTCTTAGCACTTAAGAGGCTAATCAAGATCAACAAAATCTGGCATTCTATTGGGGCTACTGCTGAATACAAGGTGCTCTTCTGCAGAATTTCACTTAATCCCTCCCCAAAGGTGCTTCCCCTCCCAAGAGGCAATTGGACTTTCAAGTTGCCTCTTGAAAAAAAATCACTTTTGGAACAACCATGAATCTCCCATAGTCACTTAATTCCCTCCCCCATCAAAAAACAAAGTTTCAAATATTCAGAATATTGTATCTTCTCTTTTTCTTCCATGCTAAGCAGCTTTTGAACTTTTGTTTTAACTTGCAATTGGACAACACACACACACACACACACACCAACAACCTTGCTGCACAAATTGCAGCAGCCATGCATCCCATAATCCTAAGGTTACACATTTTCTTTCCTCTTTCCTTCCCATTTTTTTTTTACAGTTGGGTGTAGAGCAGCAGCACCCAACCTTTTGGGCTTCAGGGACTGATTCTATGGAGAGAGGTTTTTCCGCAGAGTGGAGGGGGTATGGTTTTGTGGGCTACCTGCATCCTATGGATGGGGCTTCATTAGTTTGCATGGCTCAGTTTCTGCCAGTCCACGGACCAGGGGTTTTTAACTAAAAAATGTATTTTCCTTTGCAGATGTTAAGACACTGGCTTTGAAAGAAACACCGCAAGCTTAGCCCTGGTATATACAAAGGAAGAGTTGTCCACTGGAAACACCATAGCAGACTGTTCAGCTGGTGGTGAAAACCTTTGCCGCATTCCAAATGAATAGCAATGTGTTCCTTTGGTCAGACAGGGACTTCTGCCCAATGAAGAACTGCTGTATAACTTATTCATGGGGCAGACTCCAGATTTGCCACCTATTTTTATACTGTTCATCACACCATTTTTCTGATGACCAAAGAACTTATTGGGAGTCCTGTGAGACTTTGGTAGGTAATTACTTGGGTGCTTTGCAATAGTTGCTTATTTAATGAGTCAAATATTACTTTTACATTCTTTATGTTTGTCTAATGTTTGTTCAGTCATTTATTCATTCAAATTTTAATGCTGTACATACACTCACCAAGCATTTCTGGGTGGTTTATAGAACATTAACATAACAGCAGCCGTGAAAGTCTGTAGAGATTCTCAGTCATGTCCCAAAGGTGCTTTTCCAGCAGGCAACTGGACTTTGTTTTTTCTTTTGAAAACATTTCACTTCTCATCCAAGAAGCTTCTTCAGCTCTGACAGGATAGTGGGGAATGGAAGGATTTATATTCCTTGCGGACAGCTGGTCATTTGCATCCTTTTAGAGGGTCATTGAAGCACTTGGAGGTTTATCTGTGTCCTCCAGGGTCACCTGAGTAGTGCTCCTGGTTCCTGTAGTCAGCAATTTTTCCTCTGGAAATCCATTCCTACTCACACTCCATTCAAACGGTGTTCATCCCAAATTGTATAGCTAAAAACTAAGGCTATACAACTTTTAGCTATATCACTACCTGAGCTGTTGCATTCTGGATCAACTGTAGTTTCTGAATGCTCTTCAAGAGCAGTGTAATGTAGTCCAATGAAGATGTGACTACGGCCCAAGTTGCAGTGAGTAATATTTATCATTGTAGGAAAGTTTGTGATTGGTATACAAGATGTTTTGGCCACAGGTGTTACCTGCTGCTCAAGCTGGAGCTATAGACCCAAGGAGAACCCCCAATTCCAAACTAACTACTGAAGAGAGTGAATAATGGAATCTCCTGGACAGCATCATGAACTTAGTCAGAAGTTAAGATAGACAACTGGATATCAACATGGGCATGTTAATATCAGCACATAGGTGAACCTTGACTCCATGCCAATGTCTGATTTCATCCAATGGTTTTATATATAGCTGATGTTGAATAGGAAAATTATCTGGCTTTGCAGCATCTCCCTATTAAAATCCAAGACTTGCATTTCTCCCCATGATTGGAACCCTTATAACCAATATAATAGAGTATTCCCTGCTTCTAAATCTTGGAGAAGGCTTGAAAGGATATCATGACCAATGGCACTGAAAGCCACTGAAATATTAAGCAAGACCGGGAAGGTTTGACTTTTCTTATAGGTGCAGCCAATGCTGTTTCTGTGCTGAACATGGGCCTGAAACTGGACTGGAACATAACTTCATTTTCTCAGGTCATTTTAATTCTAGACCAGGGGTGTCAAAGTCTATTTCATTGAGGGCCGCATCAAGGTTGTTTTTGACCTTTGAGAAGTGGGGGGTGGGTGGGCAGCATGTGCCCGTGGTGGGCATGGCCAGCTCATTGTCACTTGTGTCAGGGCACTTGTGCCCAAGTGCTAAGGTAGGACTTGGGGGGGGGGGGGCTCCTCACTTTCATTATAATCCTTCCTTCCCTCTTTCCTTTTTCCTTCCCTCTTCATTCTTCTTCCCCTCTTTCCTTATTTTTCCTTCCTTGCTCTCTTCCATCTTCCCTTCTTTTTCTTTGTCTTTGCTCTTTCCCTTTCTCCTTTCCTGGCCCTTTGCATGCTCAAATGCAAAAGGAGAAACATTTCTCCTTTTGGTTGGTTTTTAGTTTTTGATAGCCCTCTGCCAGTGAAAACGGAGCTGCAGGAGGCCGTTGCAGCTGAAAATGGGGTGTGGCCCAACTCCCCGAGCTCCATTTTTCCTGTCAGAGTTGCAGGAGACCTTCGTGGCCGAAAACGGGGTGCAGGGTGGCCGTATGCGGCCCTCTCCGAGCTGTTTTCACTTACAGAGGCACCGCAGGCCGGTCCTGTATTCCGGGCTGGCCCGGTGGGCCAGATCTACGTCTTGAATTTGACACCCCTGTTCTAGGGTCCTTAAGACCACATTTCTCTCCCCACATCCCGCAGAGTGAAAATAAAGAACTAGATTCACTGTAGGGTTTATAAAGTCGAGCCATTCGTTTCTCCATTTCGTATAGCAATTATAATATTGAGAAAAGAAGCGCTTTTTACGAGGAAAATAAGTTATGTCAATTTTTATTAAAACTCCTCCGGGGAGAGGAAGCACAGGACCTCCCAAAACATCGCGGAGGCAACAGCATACAATTCCACCTTTGCTTCCTCCCAGGCTACGATATCCGGGTTGCAGACAAAAGAAGAGCCAGCCCAGCACTTTAACACAGGAGCTGCAAAACCGGAAGCGGAAGTACAACCGGAAGCACTCCTTTGGTGGCTAGGTTCCTTTTGCAAGGCGCTTTAGCGGTGTTTTTTTTTGTTTGTTTGTTTTTTTGGGTGGTGGGGGAAGAACGGCCGGCCCCCTCCCTTGCGAGGAGGATGCTCTTGGCCTCGCGCGGGTGGGGGCGGCACCTCCGGGTGGTCTGGCTGCTCGCTTTCCTTGCGGCAGGTGAGGAGGGTTCGGTTGCCATGGCAATATTGAGTGGGATGGGAGGGAGGGAAGGAAAGAATTGAGGAAGAACTGCCTTTCAGACGCACCTGCCGTCCCGACGACCGTTTGGTTGAACGCGTGTAGGGGCTTCCTGGTGATTTTGTTTGTTTGTTTTTCCGTGGGTGGGGAAAGAGGCAAAGGAGCCCCTTCCTCAGCGTCTCTCCAAAGTAGGCCGCGGCGGGGTGAACCAGATAGCAAACATTTATTCCGCTCACTGCATTTCCGTGGTTTTCAGGTTGCATTGTTCTTCTCTCTCCTGAAATAAGGGCCTGTTTTCATTTCTGATGTTAAAGAGAGTAAAGGCAAGGTGAATGTGTCTAATCCTACGTCTCTTGCTCTATTTAAATGCTGTTGAATCATGTATTTGGCAGAGATGGACACAAAACGGAAAGCGTTAACCATTATGGATTAGTAAGTTAATAATAGTTATAGCTGGATTCTCACTTTGAGCAAATTAAGGATGTGTGATTATGCTGCATGACACTTTAAATGATGTGTATTTTTCTCTATATGTACACACCTGTATGTATGTGTATTTTGCAGCAGAAACAGACGAAACTTCTGACCTGCTATCAGAAGAGCTGAGTGAAACTTCCTCACCATTAAATCTGGAAAGCAGCTCTGTCCATTCAGGCAGTAATGGACACAGAGAATCGGTACAGTATAGGACTGCAGAAATTGCTGATGCCATGATGAGTGGTAGCCGCCTTGCGGACCATCATGTTGTATTGTCGGTTATTCCAAGCGCCACAAAGGAGACACATCTCTCTGAAGCAGACACTGGTACTTGTGATGCATCAGCAGATGGTGAATGCCTTACGAATAACATGGCGTCTGTATCTCAGCAAGGATCTCATGCACAAGAGCCAATAGTACATCCAGCAGTAGTGCTGGAAGCAGTGCATCCTTCATCAGCAGAGGACTCAAATAACACAGATGGTATGAAAACCCCAAAAGTGAACTGTGAAGAAAGAAACATTACAGGAATGACAAATTTCACATTACAGATTTTGAATGTTTCCCAAGTAAGTGATATATTTCTGATGTATTTCTCCTTAAGCTGAAGGTTGGCAATTTGGGCTGACAACAATGGTCTTGCTTAGGTGCAGCTAAAGTAGGGTCTGGATAGGACTACAGCTGTGTTCCTTAACCTTGGCACTTTAAGATGTGTGGACTTAAACACCCAGAAGTCTATTGCTGGCTGGGGACTTCTGGAGGTGAAGTCCACACATCTTAAAATGGTCAAGGTTGAGAAACAGTAGACTAGAGTAAAAATGTGTCTCTTTATGTTATTATAGTACTTAATTTGTATTACAGTACCTGTTTAATTTGCATGATGTTGAATCTGGGGTTGTTTTTTTAGATTAATGGAACGGCAGTATTCCTATTAAGAGAAGGAGCTCATGAACTGGAATGTGAAATTGACTTCGCATAATATAACTGAAATGGTTATTCAGTTAATCCCTGTTGTGAATAAAACATTGAACAATAGCCTAACCACATAACCTGGTGGGGTTTTTTTTACCAAGTCACACACACAAAAAATCAACTTTAAAACTAATCCACAAGGCGTTATGTGAATGCAGCCCTTGGATTTTTAGCGTACATAGAGAAGCATGTTAACAGCTAAATATTATCCTACTAATTTTGGATATATGCTTTTTTTTCTTACTGTCAGCAATCTACAGAACACAATGCTATGCAACTTGAGAGGTATAACCACGTAAAATGATTCTGAGAATAAAGATGATGGATTCTATTTTGTTTTTTTCTGAACTTTTTTTCATCAAATCTGAAGATTGGTATTTCAACTGATCCAACTTTAATCTCCTAGGAATGCATTGTTGTTCCTAAAATTGTTAAGAAAGATGTTTATGAAGGATAGTATTTATTTCATAGAATATTTGAGTTATCAAAAAAAAATGAATGTCATCTGCGATATTGGAGGCAATGTAGTTCTGCATACTGATTGCTATTCCAAAGGCATTTTGTTACCTTCTGTGTGAATTGACTGCATTATTGGATTTAGATAGCTTTTAATTTGATACAGCACACTTCTTATGTTCTATTATTTGGATTTAAGGAATATGGATTTCTTGTTATGTGTTTACTCTTGAAGGCTATTGTCAATATCAAACTATCACAAGATTTTATGGGTTTGATTGTGTCTGTCTTCTTGCAGGAAACTATTCAATAACGGATATTCAAAATATATAATAAACTAGCTGGCCAGTATGCATGTTTACTTTTAAAATTAGGAAATTAGAGCTCTCAAATTCATTCTACATATCATCATGAAAAAATCCATGTGGTCGCTAAAACTTTACAATGGCATGTGATCAATTTAATGAATTCATACTATGGTTATTGTTCAAGTTTGAAACATGTTTTATAATAGAATGGTTAGTTAGAACTTTCATGTAGAGGCACTTCTTTGCTTTTCTGAGTAGCACTTGGTTTTTAAAATTATTTTTTAATCTCATTTTAGGATTTAATGGAATTTTTAAATCCAAATGGCAGTGACTGCACTTTGGTCTTATTTTATACCCCTTGGTGTCGTTTTTCTGCCAATTTGGCTCCTCATTTTAATTGTCTGCCACGAGTGTTCCCAACACTACATTTCTTGGCCTTGGATGCCTCCCAACATAGCAGGTAAATTTTATTTTTTTCTGAATGATAATTGTTAACTTTGTTTTATACATTCATAACGTGTCTTTACAATAATAATAATGTAATGTAATAAAGTAATAATGACACGTAACGGCAGGGAATACTTTCTGACCACCCAGTGCTCCCTACTCACTTTTTTTGTTTTTGTTTTACATGGTGATTCTAGTTTAATGAAGAATAACTGAGAGCTAGTTTTTATAAATTTTTAAATCAAAAATTTGTTTAGCAAAACTGATTCTTCTGCTTTACTGTTTGCAGTTTATCAACTCGGTTTGGAACTGTGGCTGTTCCTAATATCCTCCTTTTTCAAGGTGCTAAGCCAATGGCAAGATTTAACCATACAGATAGAACTCTGGAAACACTGAAAGCATTTATTTTTAATCAGACTGGTAAGATGAACTATAAATTGGGAGAATTGATATAGCCCTGTCTAACTCTAGTAAATACTTATTCTTTCCAGCAACATTATTGTTTCGTCTCCAGTAAGGAAGGTAGTGGCAGCAGTTTTATGGTCAAGACTTAAGATTTTGGATGAATACAAAATAAGGTTGCAGTCCTAGCTAGACAAATAATATTCTACTTCTGGTGATTTTGGTTCTGCTGAAGATCTTGACATCCTGTCATTTGCTTCTCAGAAGCCTTATTTGGATAATATAAACATACTTTGGCATCAAAGATCAATGTTAATATCATACTATAATATTGGTTACGTACATATATTTCAGTTCCTCTGTGACAGCAGGAGTTATTGCTTATGATTCTTTTGATTATTTGGGGATTGCATATTTGAGAACTGAGGGTGAATGCAAGAAAGGTATTTTTTTCTGTAGATATTTCTCTTCATGTTAACAAGGAAAGAAACCAGGTTTTCTCAGCTTTCCTTTATCCACAAGAGAGGATAAAACTACTACTTTCTCTACATGCTGTAGCAAATAATTGGGAAAGCTAAGATAGAAGCAGTATTTTTGATCTGGAGTTGGTTGAAAGATGGGTGACTATATGAATGTTTTAAATACATATATAAAATATTTTTCTTCACTGCCCCTTGAAGGAGAGAAAAAATCATGGCACTATTCCCTTTACTGATATGATTTTAGACCCGGATGATTGCCTGTTTATTTTCTTTCACCTTCCCCTGGTAACACGAGGAAATAAAACAGGCTAATCAAGTATATATTATGGAAATTATGAAAACACAAACTTACTGTTCTTGAGGCTGCAAGAGTTCTTAACAATGAAATGGAAATAGAATTAAATAGGTAACATTAATAGTTTTGCTGGAAATATATTTTTACTTCAGTGAATAAATTTTAAAGTCTAGTAAATGTCTTAGCGGATGATAACAAGTATGCTATTTTCAAGCTAGAAAATGGAGGTTTACACATGCAAATAGCTAAATGATTTATGGTGCCTCATCTTGCATCAAAGTAATAATTTGATATTTCATTTCAGGTATACAACCTAAATCTGATGTGATGGTGAGCATGGAAGATCATGTTGGTCCCCTGCCTAGCACACAGAGTAAAGGAATAGATTGGCTCCTCTTATTTTCTTTATTGTTTCTTATCAGCTTCATCATGTATGCTACTATTCGGACAGAGAGCATCCGCTGGTTAATACCTGGTCATGATCAGGAGCATCAGGAATGATATGTGATTTGAGTACTATCTGCTTTCAGAATAAGTTGATAAACTAGTGAATTCCTCAATGTCTTATGAACTCAAGTCCTGTTAAGTTTATTGCATATTAAAAATAGCACTATCATTCAGGAGAAATTTCTTAAAGTTCAACAGTGAACACTGCAGTTGGTTAATTAAATGGTGATGGGACAGCTTTACCCTATAGAATCTATACTCTGCAGAATCCATTTTAATGGCGCACGCGTGTATGTGTGTGTGTGTGTATGTATGTATATATATAAATATAAAGTGGCCTGATAATCTTGATAGAGTGAACATATCTCTGCTTCCTACTGTAGAAATTCTTATACACCTTCAAAATAACTGCAGGTGTGTACGATTGTAGAATGAAAATAATACATTTAAGTGTCAATTGGGTTTAGAAACAATCCTTAGCTTTGAGATACACTTTTTGAAAATTTAATGCAATTTGATAAATGTGTAAGTTATTGACACCTTCACATTTGTGCTTTGATCACAGTATTTGATTGAAATGGATAGAATTAAGAAAACATTTAATATATCCTAATCTTCATGTCATTTTTACTAGAAATGGAGACATGCTTCAGTATTTTAAAAGGACATAAAACAATGTCACAGTAGGTTGGAAAGAGGAAATATAATTTCATGCACGATACTGTGCTGTTTAAATTAAGTATGGATGTAAATGTATGTATACTTTCATGGACATTGCCTTTTTAATTGTGTTTTTTTGTTTTGATGTTTGTGTTTGTAAGAATTTGAATCAACAGAAATTAAAAGAATAACCTATAACATGGATAGTTATGGTATTGTGGCTACATTAAATCTTTAGAGCTGTTATTTCATAATAAATCCATTCATGGTAGACTATTATAACTTTTAAAAGCTTCTTTGGAAGGGCAGCATAAGAGACCAATATAAAATACCAAAAATGTGCATGAGACAGAAAACAGAATCAAAAGTGAATCAAAATCTGGAAGAGATGATACAGGCATATCTTATTTTCCTCGTACATTTGATAACTAAAGTGCTTTTTTCCTCATAGCTGAACATTTTTGTACAAAGACTACATGAGCTGATAGAATGGCTTGTAAAAGTAATTACCGTTTCCTTGTGCTCCCTGAGAATATTATGTTTCTTAACTCAGCAGCATTTAGTACAAACAGCAGAGTACTAGATAAATTATATTTTCTCTGCTTCAGACAATGCTACTTCCCATTCTTTTTCTATGAACTTTCCTTGCAAGCGCCACCTGTAGCTGCCGCCGGGGAAGGTGCCAAATGATCACTTGCCCGAATTAGCCTAAAGACCCAAAGAGATGCAGGCACTTTTCAATCCCTACCAACTCTGAGAATACCCAAAGGCTCCCGCCCTTGAACTGAATGAACCCAAGCCGATCATTTCGGGCATCCGAGAAAGGCTCAAACGAAGCGCTTTCGGGGAAAACCAGAGACCGCCACACTTTCGGGACCCAGCCTGGTAGGATCGACTTGCGCCTCCCAGCAAAGATCTGCGCAGGCCGGGGAGCACCTGCGTAGGACGGCGACGAGAGGCTCCCCCTAGCGGCCGCCAAACATTTTTGGGGCGGCCGCGGCGCAGGCGCTGGCTGGAGAGGGCGGAGATGCCCGCTGAGCCATGCTGAGTCCCCGCGGGTCAGGGTTGGGGCGGCTGTTGCTGCTCCTGCGAGGGGTCCTGGTGGCTGTGGGAGGCCGGGGCTGCGGTGGCGGCCGGAGCAACTTCTCAGCTATGGTGAGCGGCTGAGCAGCAGAGGAGAAAAATCCTCCTCGGAACGATTTGACAGATGGGGGGTCGGGGGGGGGGTCGGGGGGGGGGGTGGGTCGGGATCGTCCACGTAAAAAACGTGGCCCGGTGACCTTTACTCATGTTGGTTTGCTTTCTTTGAAGCTCTTAACTGCGGTTTTAAGCTTTTACAAGAACAATTTAGGGAAGGCTGACCTGGAAATCCAGATTTGGACCTCTGGGCTCCTTTTTTATTTGCAAGGGAGAGAGGCTCAAAGAGAACGTTAAATGATCCTCGCACGTGTAATTCGAATATTAGAGTTTGCAATTGGCGCTTTCCCTTTTTTTGTCCTGATAACGATCTTCCTTACAGGAAGCTCTTTTGCATTAAACCTGGATCTGGCTGGGACTGCTTCAGATTCGGGGTAGGAGGATCCTACATCTAAATACAGAAAGAGTAGGTAGCTCAGTTCCCCTTATGGATTATCCTACCAGCTTAATTCTTAGATCAGATCGGCTTTCAGGTTCTGCTCCTATGCCTCCGGGTGAAACGAAACAGTCATCGTGGAGTGAGCAGTGTACAAATTTAATACATAATACTAATAATTTAGGTATGTTAACCAGTTATCAATAAAAAAGGCAGGACAAAAGTATCATCTTCACAACAAAGGCTTTTTGTGTTGTTGATTGGCTCCCAATATTTCTCTGCTTAGTAAATGGTTGTTTGATCTTACAAAAGCTTTCATAGGGATAATCATTGCTCTTGCAGCAAAAGATATTGGAGCATCTTAAATGAACACATTTATTATGCATGTTTTTGTGGAAAATAGGCCAGATAAAATTACGATTAAAAAAAACTTTTAAATGCCAGATTGATTCTTTTTTCCTTACAGATTTTGTTTAATGAAGGCTAGTATTAAACAGCAGACTAGTGCTACAGGTACTATTACTTGTATCTGTAGCATCTCATCTGTGATGGTCAGTTTTCCTACAGTCAAGTGACTACCAATTGCTTTGCTTATTATGACAAGTTATGCATAGTAACAGCAGATTAGGCAAGTATAAATTCATTCTAGTTTGGCAAACTAATGAGAATTTTTTTACATAGTGATCTAGTGCTTGTTTATACAAAATGAAATCCCACTTAGAGCTAATTCCCAAGTAAGCATCTGGCAATGCACACAATTTGCAATCTAACATGTGCTAAAAAATGGAATATGATTCCGAATAAAATTATTTAAAAGTAACCTTTATATGTCTACATTCTTATGAATCACATCTTTAAGAATCTGTTAGATTGGGGTCCCCAACCCCCAATTTGTGGACTGGCATTGGGCCATGGCATGCCAGAAACCGGGCCATGCAACAAGCAGAGCCTCTGGGATGCAGGCAGCACATGAAACCATGCCCCTTCTGGTCTGTGGAAAAACCTCTCTCCACAAAGCTGGTGCCTGGTGCCCCAAAAGTTGGGGGTCTCTGTGTTAGATGGATGCAGACTTCTCACATGTGGCCATATAATTTGCTTATTTGTCTAAATTATTATATGGTTAATGTAATCAAGGTCAGGTTTTTTTGTTCAGTATATTGTTCCTTGTCTGTTTTACACACACACACACACACACACCTTAGAAGATTGTGCATCAAGTAATGTGATGAACTTTAACTGGAATAATCACAGCTTGTTTTCCAAACAGCTGAATAGAAATGGTGAAGTTGTGATATAACACTTTCTGTATTAATGGCCCAATAGTTACTTTAAGTAACCTTGAATTCAGGAACAGATTGCAAGCCCATGTGTATTCAGCTGGCAAACAAGCAGTGCATTAGTGTTGAAATTCAAGAATGAAGTTCAAGGCATGCATTGAACAGCAGACATTGAAGTAATGACAATGTAGGAAGCTATTAATAATAGCTAGCGTACAAACCCAAGAATCTCTAATACATTTTCTTAAATATATTCTCAGAGTGTGAGTCTAAGACTTGCAATTGGTGGTTCTGAAATCTAATAAGATTTATGGATTATTTGATCTGTTAATCTAAGTTACATATTTCAAACTGAAAATTTGATTTTGCTTTATATTTTATACCAGGTTATTCTTAAAAAGGAAATACTGCTTTTTTATTTCACATTTTGCAAAATATACCGACTTCTAAAAATATGTAGGAGAAAACTTCCAAATAAGCATAGACTCAAAATAAGCATAGAGCCCAATAGTTTGACATGGTTTTCCAGGAAAGAATTGCTAAAGAGGAAGTAGAAATTACAACATAAAAAAGGAATGGTGAGTGGACATTGAAATGTCAACAATTAACAAAAAGCCATATATGACCCATGATCTATGATTGCATCACATAACTGGTTAAAGATGGTAAGTGAATAAAAGTAGACATTTGAAACCATCCAAGAAAAGTAAAATAGCTCCATAGGCCAATCGATTCGATCTCCATTATCGGTTACTCAGGTAGAATTAGTAGTTAATATTAAATGGCATGCAGACGATAAGTCTGGAAAAATTAAAAAAAGATAATGGACATATCTTCCTTTCCAAATTATCTCTACATTCTTAACAATTTATTTTGTCTGGTTTTTACCCTTTTTTGAAAGTGATATTGTGTGATATTATTTATATTCAGGAAAAACACATGGACTACAAATAGTCCTCTACTTATGATTGGTTGCTTAGTGAACATATGGTAGATCCCACCCCCACCCCCCAAAAAAGCTGCTTAGAATCCAGTCCTGAAGTTACAGCTGCTGCAGAGTCCCCTTATGACCAACCACTTAACTCCCTTCCACCACTGACCTCCACTTCGTCGTCCTCACTTTTCTAAGAGCACTGGAGTTAGAGTTAGGGAAAGGGAACAACTTGTTTTGCTTCCCTAATGAAGCCTCACAGCATTCCACCATGCTGCGGAATGCTCAGAATAGAATAACAAGAGTTGGAAGGGACCTTGGAGGTCTTCTAGTCCAACCCCTTTTTAGGCAGGAAACCCTCTACCATTTCAAACAAATGGTTGTCCAATTTCTTCTCAAAAACTTCTAGTATTGGAGCATTCACAACTTCTGGAGGCAAGTTGTTCATGTCAGGGAAGCATTCTGGAATCGGATGCCATTTTCCTAGTGGCCACAATTCAATGGGTCTGCTTCCAGATTGTGCCACCCTGCTCAGCGAGCTCCAGAGCTCTTCAAAAAGAGAGGAGATGGATGTGGGGCCCTGTGGGATGGGAGGCAAGCTCAAGGCCTGCAGAGTCTCAGGCCAGAAACGAAGCATGAGGTGCCTCAAGGTGGAGAGGCTTTGGGAGGCCTGTGGCACGGGCTGGGCTAGACTTCCCAGGTTGCCTCTGAGGCACCCCATGCTCTGCTTAACAACTTGCATGCTTGTTTAATGACTGAGAATAGGGGTGGGGGCTTCATAAGTGAGGTGATCATGGAGCTTCACTTAACAGTTGTCACAGTATGTGATTAATGGGCAGACTCTATCACAGTCTTGAGTTGAAGACTAGCTATATGTTAAAATCAGTCAAACTACAAAAAGACCCGATGCCCCAATACTTTGTTCCTTAATAAATAGGCATTATTTTCTTAAAATAAATGTTAGTATTTCAGCAACATCTAATATTAATGGTATTTATGTTATATACTAATTATTAAAAAATAGAAATAATTCATTAGTCATTTTCAGACTATAAGCTTGTTGATTATTACTGTATTGTTCACCTTTTAATAGGCAATTAATTTGTTTAATAGTGAAGTATTACTGCACATGTTTTCATCATGTATTTTATTCTATAATATTTTAATCATGTAAAAATAATTGATTCTTTTAACTTTGCAAATATGAAGAAGCTTTTCGATTGTATCTTGGTAACTCGTGAAATTTATCTTTTTAAATTGATTCATGCTGAATTTCCATCCATTAGTAAATAATAATTGCAAATATAAATGTTGGATATCGACATTACATAATCAGTAAAAATATTATTAATTATATAAATGTCTTTTCAGTAAGGTTAAATAAAGAATTTACTTGATATATAATTATGTTAACTCTGTTTTCTTTATTATATTATTTACCATATGATTATTCCTAATTTTTGTTTATATAATTTAACATCTCTATTATTTCTTGTTTAGAAAGTTTAAATTCTATCTCACCTTGAATAAGAACTTACATTTGAAATATAGTGCCACCTAGTGGACAAAATGTTATTTGTGTATAACAAATGTAATTATTCAAATTCATAGGATTGGAGTTTCTAAAATTGTCCACTTTACATATATGTCTGAAGTTTCAATTGAATTTCAGAGATTTGTGATGTTTAATCTGATTTATTTGAAATGTTTAATTTGTTTGAATGCCAGATTGTGCTGAAGAAGTGCTGTTAGTATTTTCCTTTGAGAAAATTGATTGATGGGAAGTTTATTTACTGTTTAGTGTTTATAAACTGTAGAAATAGAAGGTAGTGAATTATGTAAAATGAGATGTTAAAAACAAATTAGAATACATATTAAATCTAACTACTCCAGGCATTCTTCTTAAATCATTTCTAAATTCATGGCTGAATATGAATTCTAGTTTGTTTTATCATTTTATTTTTAACTTCATTAAATAACCTAATTTCACCTCCCAAAATGTTTAGTTTGACTTCAAAAGCCAGTTCAAAATAAAAGATTCTTCTGTAACTTAGGAACTTAGATTTGTTTTTTCTTGGTTTCTAACATTACAGTTTTATTTACTTCCACTCAGAAGTAAACTCCAGCAATAAGAAGAGAGAAAAGTAAACTCTCTCTCTTTCTCTGTTGAATTGCAGACTGTGAGTTCTGCTACTCCTTAATTCCACCACATGTGCAAAGCATCTCTGAAGATATGCATGTCTTTTTATAATCATTGTTTTTATCCTGCATGACTGGCAAGGATAATTTATTTGCCAATAAATTATTCTTTGCAAAGGTTTTTGCCAAGGATTACAAATAATGCTTTCAGGCATCACTCCTTTCCAGCTATCCAGTAGCTGAGAAAAAAAAACGGCAGTTCAACCTGTCTATATTTTTCTTTCAAATGTTATGTGTTGGTAACATTCATGGTTAGCACACTTAGACCAAACATTTGCTGTTTTAGCACCAGGCTTCTGGAAAACAGAAAATCTATGATTATATAGAAATATACAGAGGCATTATATTGGAATGCCACCTAAAAAGCACAAACTTTGTTCATCATTCTAACCTCAGTAAATGTGTCTTGTGGATCATCCAGATGTAAAGATTTGGATAAGTGTATGCGATTGTGATCATTGTTCTTGTTAATGAAGAATATAACCAGGGTGTGTCAAATTTTTCAGCTTCCAATTTCCAAACACTAGGGGTGCTCAAAAGTTGTGACATACCTTGGGGATTGTAAAGATATTTGGGTTACTTTAATATAATTTAGATGTGCTTAGTAAGTAACTACATAAATATCATACTTTTTTAACATTTTGTTTGTTTCACCTTCTGCATTAATACAATAAAAGGTTACTTATTAAAAAATGTGAAGGGAGTGTTAAGAGAGTGCTTGGACCAGTTTTGTGGAATTCTTAATATTGTTGAACAAAATCCTGGCAGTTATATTGTAAATGCATTGTTCATTGCATCTGGTTTAAAAAAGTTTAAATTTATCGATATATCCAAACTGGGAGAAAAATGAGAAATAAAGCAGGATGATAGGCAGCCTGTCCAATCGGAAAACAGATGCCTATAAATAGCTATGTGGATTCACCTACAATAGTCGCTAGAGAAGAGGCAGAAAAACTTGAATTTAAAACACGCAAAGGAAACATAGTTTTTTAGATTTTATACTGTGTTACTATGCTTTACAATTGGAGAGTTACAGTCAGCAGGTGATGTCAAGTTGCAGAGATTGGATATTTCAGAATGTGGTAAATTTCTCTCTCTACCAAGAGAGAAATATTTGTAAATCTGCTTCTAACATGCAGGTGATGTAAAACCATCCATATAGATGAAATAGTCAGCCAGGTTTTAAAAGTTTTTGCTTACCTAAAATATAATATGACGGTATGTGTTTATCAGAGTATGCTGCATTATGTGTAAGATTATTTTCTCATTCCAAAAATATTTTTCACTTTTGTCCCACTGGAACCATAGCAAAATAACTTGAACCAAGAAATCACCTCTCCAGACAATGTTATATTTTTAACTTTTTACAGACCTATTCTTCCTTTCTAGTAATTTAATCTCTTTGTTCTTTTTCCAGAATTATTTCTCTCAGAGTTTCAAACTTTCGTAATGTAGAATCCTTAAGGGGCTATGGGAGATCTCCTTTAGGGTGGGTTTCCCTCAAAAAATTAGTTTTGCAAATTTCAGAAGTCTGTCAAATTTTTATTTGTTATTGGGTGTCCAGATTTCAGTGGGAAAGAATTAAGAGCATGTTTTTCTCCTGTATGACATAATATAAAAGTATTTTCAATTTTAGTGGATTATGTTTATTAATTTTATATAGCAGCATCTGTTCCTACCTGTTCTGCTCTAGAACAATGCAAAGTTACCACGTACCATGTTTACTCAAATGCAAGTATCAATGATGTTTGTTTTCTACCTAAGATGCTGCACAAGATGTTTTAATTTAGATGCTACTTAACTTCATACTCTAAATAGAATGAATCCATATATGACTTTATGGGAGGGAGCAGAATCAATCTGTACAATTCTATTTGTGAAGACACAACCAGTATGATTGCAAATAATAAATGCAATGTGGTCTTTTTAATCTAATAAGCCTCTGTATGGTTAACATAGGTTTATGGTGCATTTTTCTTCTTTCTTTGACATCATAGTCTTCACAATCTAGCTGGTTGAGCACCGAAGAAAGGAACCAAGCTTTATATGATCTTAAAGCTGCTGGCTGGACTGAGCTCACTGAAAGAGATGCTATATTCAGAGAATTCGTATTCAAAACCTTTAATCAGGTAAATGCCATTAATTAGTATTCTTGATTTAAAGGAAATACATTTCTCTTGATTATCCCTTGTACTTGAAAAACCCCATATGCTACCAGATCCTGTTATTTTAAGTTTTACAACTTGATGATGATGATGATGATGATGATGATTTTTCTTTAAAAATGTGAAAAGTGATACATTTTTTAAAGGATGGTAGAACTTTGTACTGAATAAGACCCAATATACATATGTTTATATGTGTGTGTGTATGTGTGTGTGTTTTCTTAAGTTTTCGCAGATACTTACATGTATGGCATTCAGCTTTGTTTGGGTATTTTCCCACGTCATTATAGTTGTGCTTTTAAAGTTGTAGCAAGGTTTCGGCAGAATCTCATCTGCCATCATCAGGCTTCTGTATTGTGTTCAAGGAACACAATACAACTTTAAAAGCACAACTATAATGACATGGGAAAATACCCGAACAAAGCTGAATACCACACACACACACAAACACACACGCACACACACACACATATGTGGATCTTTGGTTATTTGGGTTTTCTCCCGCGTAAAATTGGAAGTATCTTGGCAACATTTTGACGAAATCTCATTCGTCATCTTCAGGCTTGTGTCTTCGGCTTTGTGCTTCTCGGAGTAATGTGAGCTTGCAGCTGCTTCTTCCTTTTAACTGCTAGTGGGGTGTGACTTAATTGGGTGGGGGCTTGGCTGTGTTCTGATTGGGTGGGGGTGTGTTCTCATTGGTTGGGGGTTTTGCTGTGTTCTGATTGGTTGGGGGTGTGTTCTGTTCAGGTGGGGGCTTAGTTGTGCTCAGGTTAGTCTTAGTTGCTGGGGGATTTGAGCTGGTGAGCTGTGATCCTGTTGTTTGGCTTCGTGGTCGTGCCACATCTTCATGGTGGGCGTCCGTTCGCTTCATGTATGGGGTTTCACGTAGGGGTTTGAAGCGGGTAGTGATGTAGCTCCGGTACGGCTTCTAGTCCGTGGTCGTGTCTTATCATCTGTGTGGGTGTGAGTCTGCTTTCTACGTGGAAGTGTGGTAGCATCTTGTGTGGCCCTCATGGGTGTGGGTCTGGTGTCATTCTTCATGTTAAGTACTCATTTGCTAATGAGGGCGGGTTTCCAAATGGCTGGTAGGCGGGAGGTATCATCTTGTTTATTCATGCTGTGTGGGCGTTTTTCTATCTCTATGGCTTCTCTGATTATTCTGTTGTTGAAGTGTTCAGTTTTGGCGAAAGTTCTGGTATTTTTAAAGTCAATCTCATGTCCTGTGGCTTTGAGGTGTTGGACCAGGGAAGAGGTCGGTTCTTCTTTTTTGATTGAGTTCTTGTGTTCTTCAGTGCGTGCACTTATTCTTCTGTTAGTTTGTCCGATGTATGTGGTGGGACAGGCGGTGCAAGGGATTTCGTATACTCCTTGGTTTTCTAACTTGATTTTGTCTTTAGGGTTTCTTAGGATGGTGGATATTTTTCTGTTTGTGCAGAATGCTGTCTTAATGTTGTGTTTTTGGATGATCTTGCTGATTTTGTCTGTGGTGCCTTTTACATATGGGAGGAGGGCTTTGCCGTTCTCTTGTCTTCTGTCTTGGATTTTGGTTGGAGTTTCTTTTTGGATTAGGTGGGTAATCTTCTTTCTTTGGAATCCATTGGCTGTTAGTACATTAGTGAGAGTGTGTAGTTCGGTTTTTAGGTGTTGTCCGACGGCTAAGCATTTTGTTCTGGAGATGAGTTCTGATATTTTGGGGTGTAGGCTGTTGAGGTATGTGAGGAAGTTGTTCAGTTTTTTTTCCCCATGTGGCCAGATTATGAAGGTGTCATCTACGTATCCAAGCCAGAGTTTGAGTTTGTGATCATATTTTTCTAGAGCTTGTGTTTCAAAGTGTTCCATGTAGAGGGTTGTGATGACAGGTGAGAGGGGTGATCCCATGGATGCTCCTTCTGTTTGTTTGTATTTTTTTCCATTGTAGGTGAAGTATGTATTGGATAGGCAGTCAGATCTAGGATGGTCAGATCTAGGATGTGCTTGGGGGGAGGGGGTTGTATTTGTTTTGGGTGGCTGTCAAGGCTTCTTTTATAGGCACTTGGGAGAAGAGGGATATGACATTGAAACTCACTAGTAGGTCGCTGGGCTGTAAGTTTTGTTTCCTTGCACACCTCAACAGCCTACACCCCAAAATACAATTCACCATGGAAACAGAAGCTAACAATCAACTTCCGTTCCTAGATGTCTTAGTATACAAAAAATCCAATGGCTCCCTAGGACACACCATCTATCAGAAGAAAACACATACAAACTGCTATCTACACGCACTCTCAAACTACTACCCAGCACAGATCAACTCCGTAGCCGAGACACTCATCTCCAGAACAAAATGCTTAGCTGATGAACAACACCTAAAAACCAAACTACACACTCTCACTAACGTACTAACAACCAAGCCCCCACCTGAACAGAACACACCGCCACCCAATCAGAACACAGCCAAGCTCCCACCCAATCAAGTTACACCCCCACTAGCAGTTAAAAGGAAGAAGCAGCTGCAAGCTCACTTTACTCTGAGAAGCACAAAGCCGAAGACACAAGCCTGAAGAAGATGAATGAGATTTTGTCGAAACATCGCCAGGATACTTCCAATTTTACGCGGGAGAAAACCCGAATAAGCAAAGATCCACATATAAATACCCGCAAAAACCTCAGAAAACAAATATATACATATACGTGTATGGCATTCAGCTTTGTTCAGGTATTTTCCCACGTCATTGTAGGTGTGCTTTTAAAGTTGTAGCAACGTTTCGGCAGAATCTCATCTGCCATCATCAGGCTTCTGTATAGTGTTCATCTCTGAATCAGGCTTTTACAGTGGTACCACTGTATTCTGCCGAAACGTTGCTACAACTTTAAAAGCACAACTACAATGATGTGGGAAAATACCCGAACAAAGCTGAATGCCATACATGTAAGTACCCGTGAAAACGTAAGAAAACATACACACACACACACACACACACACACACACATATGGATCTTTGGTTATTCGGGTTTTTTCCTGCGTAAAATTGGAAGTGTCTTGGCGACATTTCGATGAAGTCTCAATCATCATCTTCAGGCTTGTGTCTTCGGCTTTGTGCTTCTCGGAATAAATATATATTATATATATTTGACTGGAACTTTATGGTCTAATTGCTATAATTATATATATATATAAAACTGTAGTTTTTCAAATGTTGAAAATGTCAGAGGTTTATGGTCTTGTGGACTTACTAGCTGCCCAGGTCCACATATGGCTTGCAGGCTGTGGGTTGGCACGCCTGATTTAGAAATAGTTAATTTGGTTTAAAATGCTAAGGAGGAATCTTTAAATTGACAGGTTAGTGGATTGCAGTACATTTAATCTTCATTTAAAAATTGAATAATATTAGTTAATGGTATTTAAAAACTGAATTGAGAGACTTATATTCACACCTCAGTTCAAGACTGTTTATTTGGGAAGCAAGGATAAAGTCTTTATATTTTAATTTTGTGTATCTCCATAGAGTCATCACATTCCACTTACCCTAATGTTCTCTTTAATTATTTGTTTAAATGCATGTTTAGCTCAGACATGAATCTTGTTGCTAATTCATGGTTGTTCAAATTGACTGTATCATTGTACCTAGCATTGAGTAGGTTTTGTTACAGGTTTTTAGAATTTTCTGGTAAATTCTAAGAATATTAATTTTCATTTTTAGCTGTAATCCTAAAAGAGCCTATGTGCTATGTCAGATTTGTATTCCCCATTAGAATATATTATACATGAATGGAATTTGAAATCAAGACCACCTGATTTATCCTCTCATGTCAAGCATGGATGATATTAACAATGGCTTGCTGAAGAAACCATGGTGATTTGGTTTATATACAGATTATCCTTTATATTGTTTTATAAACCACAGTGCATTAGTTTGACATGTGGGCATATTTAGAAATAATTTGCCTAAAGCTATCTTGTGAGCTTATGATATAGACTACTACATAAGCATATGTTCTTAACCAGGCCAATATGATAAAATATGGGAAGCTACCCTATTTGTACTTGAATTGCAGCATCGCTTGCAAGTGCAGAAGTGATGGAATGTGCACTGCAACATCTTAACCCATACTGTCATCTTCTCAACTTTCCCCTTACTATGGAATATCTGTGGGAAGGTTTAGGGGCTTCCTGATTCTTTACTCGGCATGTTAGCACAATGCAAAGAGGTGTTTATTGATTGACATCATAGTTGAAAATATATCACTAAAAAGTTATATATTAGTTCTAGTTCTATTTTGTGGAATTCATTGGTATCAAGTATTAAATAGTTTTAAAAGAGCATTGAAAAATTCATGAAGAATTAGGCTGTCAGTGGCTACTAGTTCTGATACCTATTTGCTACTTCTGGAATCAGTGGTGCATGTGTTAAATGCCACCTGACAGGAAAGTAGTAAAAAAAGCGGGGGGGGGGCGCTACCATTTTTTCATCAATTTTTGGTGAACTTTTGGAAAACATCCAATTGACCCTTGTAGTACAAAGATTATTGGATCAGATGAATCTGGCCTACAAGTTTGCTATGGTAGTAAAGAGAAGAAGGAAATTATTCGAGATTATTATGTGAAACTATCCACACAAGAGAATATTGATGAGGAAAGAGTTAAACAGTATTTACAGAATGATAATTTATCCCAGATACCTAAAGAGATTGAAACAATGTTAGAAAGCAATATAACGAAGATGGAACTAACTGAAGCACTTAAGAAACAAAATAATGGAAAGGTACCAGGCCCAGATGGACTTCCGGCAGAATTTTACAAAACATTACAAGAATCATTGAATTTTCCACTGCTAGAAGTTATGAATGAAGTTATGTTAAAGAAGAGGATACCTAAATTACGGTCAGATGCTTATATCACACTTGTTCCAAAAGAGGAGACTGATCCATTACAAATCAAGAATTATAGACCTATCTCCCTACTAAACGCAGATTATAAAATCTTT